ATTATTATTATTATTATTATTAATGTAATTCACTTGCAAACTTTCTTGCTTCTTGGACAATGGAATGTTATTGTCATATTGGGACCTACCATGATTTGGACTGCATTTAGGGAAACGGACCAGAATTTCTTTGGTTTGTCTCAATTAGAGGGAAAACCATCAAATCAATTGTTCAGTGATGAAATGATATGTAGGTAGGTCCAACTGATTTAATGGGTTTGCTCTTGTAAGGACTAACAATAGTGTTTAGGATATCTAAATTTCAGTGATTCAGTATGTTGGGTGAGCATAGTAAATGTGCCCGAATCCTTGATGAGTTGCAGCAATCTATGTGAAAGCTACAACAATGATTGGAAACCTTTAACTTCTAGATGTCAGTGAACTACTACTCCCATCTTGTCCCCTCACTACAAGCTAGCTTGCTTGGGGTTGGTGACAGCCAGTGTTCACCAGTATCCAGAAAGCCAAAACTCACCCAGCCCTCTGCTTCTAGTTGTATGGAGGAGACCCAGGAAAAGCAGAAGTTCATTGATGCTTCCACTATATTTGGTTGAATTTAGAGGTCTAGGCTTTCTAATTGGTGGAGAGGGCTCACAGATGGATAGACTGTGGCCAAAGTCCAATTGGGTGCATCCATTGATGGAAGATGCTCCATCAGTGGATGCAAGGGAAGCTGAATATCTCCAGAGCACTGTAAACATCTGCTTCAGATGGCTGAAGACCCTCCAGTACAGAGTTTTGGGTGGAAAGGAGACCATTTTGTTGGAGTCATACAGGTGCTGCACAGGAAGAGAGATAATCTCCTCATGGATCAACTGACAGAGCTTTTTCCTTTAGCTGATGTATCTGACTCAATCCTGGCCTATGACTCTAAAACTGAGACTTTGATTCTTGTGATGAATTTACTTGTAAAGCTCTTTTGTTCCTCAGCAGGACATAGAGTTCTTGTAAGTACGTACTTGAATGCCTTGAGGCTTGTTCCAAAAGGACTGCCACTTGTTGAGAGACATTAAAACAGTGATGCATCGAGATGTGTCATGAAAGCCTTATTTCATCATAAGTTGATGCTGTCAGATCCACATGCATGGTTCTGTCAGGATGGTATGATGTAATGATATGATGTTAAGATGATATAGTGATATAGTGTTATGATAAGATGCTGGTTTATTGAGAGGGGAAAAGGAATAATGTGGGAAGCCAAGCTTGGGAAACAACAGGAGAGGGCAAATGGCCAGAGGCGAGATAGATGTGTGGCTTTATGATCCTGTTGTTCCTGCAAGCAGATCGGGGTTGTAAATAGGAACAGTCTCCTTCCTTAAGTGAGACTGAATGGTAATTCAGGAAATGAAAGAGGAAACATGAAAGGTAATTTTTGATCTGGGTCAAAGGCCTGGGATCATAGCCGGGGAGCGGGGCTGGATGATGGGACCTCTTAAGGATGATCCAGGGGGAAAACTTTTCAGTTCCAACACAAACCCTGGACAGATGAACTTCTGTCCCAATTTCTGGAATAAAATCTTTTGTTTTAATTATACTAAGATGTTATCTTGGTTATTGGTCCACTGAACCTGACAGTGAACCTCAGTTAATGGAGAAACAAAGGACCTTTATTTCAACAAGAATCTGTAATCCTGACACTGAAGGACAGTGGCTGAGTTTCAAAGTGTATATGAAGCCACCACTATTAGGATTTACAGCATACCAGAAATTGGTCACTTCTACTTAAGATCATCATGATCATAGGAACAAAGCCTTTCTGTCAGTTTGTGTGCATTACTAGAAAATGGGGGTGGGAGGAGCACAATGACTGGGAGACACGGATTTTACATTCCCTGATTAACACATAGCTATGCTGTATCTTCAACTTGATCCTGGTGCCTAAAAAGAATGGTAAAAAAACAGTTATGATGTGTGATCTTCCTTTTAATCTGGGGAGAAGAACTTCTGGGTCTCCAGATGTTATGGATTGCAAATCTCATCATCCCTACCCAGTAGATAGTGAATGGTAAATTGCAACTCAGCAACATCCAGAGAAATACATGTTGCCCACCCCTGCTACAGGTCATAGTGAAATTTCAGGGTATTGCCAAATGTTTTGACAATAAACCTCATCTTCAGTATAGCCAAAAAAGTAACTTTAGTGAACATTTCAGTTCTCAGAAATGGGCAGTATCTCACTGGTTGCTCATTTTTGTATCATTTTTGTGCAGGCGGAGGCTCAAGTACATTGGATCATTCGTGCCATACACATAGATGTCCCATCTGTATGAGAGGGAGAGATCAAGGAGAAAGTTTTTTTAAAACAATAACAACAATAAAAAAGAGGCTTTATGGCACCTAAAAAAATGAATAGACTTAATTGTACCGCAGACTTCCACAGACTGTAGCCCATTTCATTAGGTTATTTTGCTTTATTTATTTATATTGATGATTAATGAAACATAATAAAAATAATACTAGTGTAATAAAATAAAATAAAAATCCACAAATGTATACCATAATAAAATGTGTTACTCTTTAAGATGAAACAGAACTTTTTTCCAAAACTGATTAACATGGATACCCCAAAGTCATAGTTTTGTTTTTAAGTATGGGGTTGATTGTCTGACAGTTGCAGGGCATTTAGTTATGTTAGTGGTTGCATGTAGGCTGCTAGACAAAACTAGAAATCTAGTTCTCTTCTAGAGAGAATTAGAAATCTAGTTCACTAAGTTTCTTCTACCACCTACTTCATGCTGTACTGACCAATGAAAGATGATCTGCTTGTTTCAAAACAGAAGATGTAATCTTGCTGAATTTATACAGATTATGGATGAACAAGAATCAAAAAATTGTCACACAGCCTTAAAGCAAAGGGGAGTAAGACAGAAGAATTAAAGGACTACAGTAAGAGCCATCCAAAGCAAGTAACTATGGGCCTCGGCAGACGACTAATTGGGTCGTCTTCCGGGCCCGGAAGAGGAGGGGCAGCCGCACGTTCGGCGCCCCTTCCTCTTCCTGAGGTCGCCCCGGAAGCTGCCGGCCCTCCGCACGTCCGGCGCTTCCGGGGCAACCTCCCTCCGCAGCGACCGGACGCGCTGCGGAGGATAAGACAGCGAAAGTGCGCCCGCCGCTTTTAGGGCACACTTTCGCTGTCTTGAGGAAGGAGCGCTGATTTAGCGCTCCTTCCAGGGACGCCGCCGGTGCGCCGAGATGCGGAGGCTGCGACCCCGTGGCGTGCCGGCGCAGGGCGTCCTGGATGCCCTCGTCTGCTTCCCCCGTATGTAACCAAAACTAGCAGTCATTTAAATACCTAGTGTGTTTCATCAACGTTTATCAGATACAATTAGAATTTATTATTCAATTTTAGAAAACCTTGAACAGGTGCAGACTGTATCAAAGATGCATATATACTAAGATGTCATTTAAAACATTTGCAGTCTTTTACAATCTTGATCAGAGGTATTTTATGACCTCTAGTGGTAGTATAGAGAAAATACCAATTTTGGGTTTTTTAAGGCAGATAATCTTTTAGTTGAGAAATACAGACATGCACACAGACACACACACACACTTTTGCATACACATATATCATACATACTATGTAATGATGGTGAGAAATACAGCAGGGTGGGAACCTTTGTTGAATGAATGCATAGTCAAACCCGAGTATTACTATGATCAATCCAGGAAGCCACCTTGTACCGGAACTTGGCAGTGTTTCTAGAAGTAGAACCAAATAGTGGAAAATTGAAAGAAATAGATTTCAGCCAAATGTAACAAGAAACATCCTAATTCTGAAAGCCATTCCGCAGTGGAACAGACATCCCTGGAACATGGTAGGTTACCCTTCATTCTAACATACAACAAGGCTGAAATAGCAGTTGTGGGTTTTCAATTGCACTTCACTTTGTGACTGAAGGCCATGGTAAATTTTAGCAAAACTAAAGCTGGACAAAATTTGTAAGGCCCATCTAAACCACCTATTCAGTAATCCTGGAGAGGATGGAATATAAGAGGATTTTCTTGATTGTATCCTTCAATGTTTTTCATTGGTAACGATTTGCATCCTTCATTGGATTTTCAATGCTGATAAATTCTGTTTTGTTCCTTGCTCTTGAATATGGGTAGAAAAAATATTTGACAAAATAATGAAAAATGACTGAAAAACATGTTTTTTGAGTGTCAACAAACCTTATGAGAAGAATCCTGGACTAAATACAATCTTTGCATTTGGGGAAATGTTGTTTTCTATGCAAATCAACCATATGTTAATTTTGCATTGAATAAATCCCCAACTACAGCATTTCCCACACAGAAAACAGCTTTTTCTTCATGTAAAATAATAGTTCTGTGTAGAAATATTATTTTCTGTACAAAAATGCTGTTCCTTTCAGTTTTCAGTGCAAAACAACCATGTGCAAATTTTGCACAGAATAAGTCCTGAATTTCGAATAGGCTTTAGAAAATGCATTGTTTTTGGTAGAAAATTGCTAAAATTACTTGCTGCTTTCTTTGAGAAGAAAGTTATTAAAGAATTATGGTACATCTCTGTATCTATATCCTGGTTTGTCTTTCAGCTATGTCTTTCTCTTTGGTTATGGGTACAAAATAGTCAGTATGGGGTAGCGGACATCCAGCCTCAAGTATCTGCTAAGCTGTGAAACTCGCTGGGTGATCTTGGGTTAATTGATCCTTCTTCCCCTAACTTTATAGAGTTGTGAAATAAGGAGGAGTATACATCTAACACATAAATAAATAAATGCATAATGGATACTTGCCCCATGGTTTCTGGTTCATCTTTGACTACGTACTGTCCATGGTCCATTCCTTACACTGTTTCATGTTTTGTTGTTGCTGCTGTTGTTTCTGACTTATGGGCCTTCAAGTTGTTTCTGATTTATGGCGACCCTAAGGCTAAGCTGTCATGGGGTTTCCTTCGCAAGATTTATTCAGAGGAAGTTTGCCATTGCTTTCCCATGAGGCTGAGAACATGTGACTTGCTCAAGGTCACCCAGTGTGTTCCAAGCGGGGAATTGAACCCTGATCTCCAGAGTCACAGTCCAACCCTCAAACCATTACACATTTAGAAAGCTCCAAATGATATACAGTCATCCCTTCTGATTTGCGGGTGATCTGTTCCAGAACTACCACCCCTGTGAATTGGGAAAACCACAAATATTGAGGTCCCATTTGTTTTAATGGCCGTATGCTTCTACATGTGGTGCTGGCGTGCGCACCATTTTATCCCTCCCCACTTGCCGTCTGCGAACAGGCGAGACCACAGACTCCAAGTCCATGAACGGAGAGGGATGAGTGTATATGGAGTTAAAGTAATGGAATCAGGGCTGTGTGCACTCCATTTGAAGTGAGGGGCGAGATGCATGCTTTTTGTTATCAAAATTCTGTTCTACAACCTTAATAAACTGTGCTGTTGGAGCAATTGTGCATAATTTCTCCCATTTTCATAACTTTAGTAGTTTTTGAGATTATGCATAATTCTAGTTTTGCGAGTCATGGCATCTGAGGTTTTCTCTTGAGCATGTATTTCACAATCATAAGGAGATGAAACCTTAAAAGAAAAATTAAAGTGAAATTCTTAGAGAACTGAATTCTGCATCCAGTGCTACATTCTACATCTGGTGTTAGAATTGCAGCTGAATATGTTTTTTCATCTTGGATTTTTATTCTAAAATGTTTCCACCAAGCAATTTACAGTGCGTATCTTTGCTTCATTCAGAGTTAAGGAACCACTGTATTGACAATCACTGCTCACATTGTAAAATATACAGTTTCAGTGTGATTTCTGATCAGGTCATAATTACTTGCACAGGAATCATTTTTAAAAACACTGTCATGTTAAAAGTACTAGTTATAAGTTCAACACTTTAAAACACGATATAAAACATGCCAGTACTGCAGCCACAATATTGTGAGTTCAATCCCACAGGGCTCCAGGTTGATTCAGCCTTCCATCCTTTCATAGTTCAGTAAAATGCATATCCATCTTGTTGGGGGCAATTGGCTTACACATTGTAAACCACTTAGAGTTTGCTTAGTTCACTATGAAGTGGTAAAGTGCTATTGCTATTGCTGTCTTTATTTACAGGTACAGGGATCTGTACAGGTACATCAGTTAATCAAGCAGATGAATTCCTGGGTGTTACTTCTTTAAAAGAAACTTTGCTACCAGAAGTAAAAACAATGCAGAAAGAATAAAGATAGGTTTGACACCACAAAAAAAGAAAAGCAGTTCAACCTGTTTCAGCAGATCTTTTATTCAAAACTAAGATTATGTACACATGAAATGAAATAACCAGGTTGGGTAAGCCTTGCTTACAGAAACAAAAATATTTCAAACCTTCTGGAGGCCACTTGAAAAAGTCTTCCAAAACCCATTAAGGGATGATTTATTTATTTTTTTACTTTCCCTAGCCTCCATTTTTCTTACGATTTCCATTTTGGTGGCCAAACATATATATGTGTGCATTTTAATCATGTTGGAGGGAGCTGGTGAAAGAGGCTCATCTAATTTCCCTTTTTCCTTCTGTTTTGCTCTTCACACAGACTCAGTAAGTGATTCTGGAGGCAGCTGCTGTTTACTTTGCCTCTTGTATGTAAGCACACCGAGCTACAAGTAGCAATAGCAAGTATCAATAGCATGTACACTTCTCTACCACCTATCAGTGAACCAGCACTCCCTAAGCAGTTTACAATGTGTAAGCCAATTGCCCCCAACAAGCTGGGTATTCATTTTACCAACCTAAGAAAGGATGAAGGCTGAGTGGACCCTGGAGCCCTGCAAGATGGAACTCACAACCTTGTGGGTATGTGTGGCTGCAGTACTGCTGCACAACCAGGGCTCCTCTGTCTCACCAGGGCTCCAAGTAGGATCATCTAGAATAATGGCTCCCAGACTTGGGTCCTCTAGGTGTTTTGAACTTCAACTCCAGAAGTCCCTGTCAGGTTGACCAATGGTCAGGAATTCTGGGAGATGAAGTCCAAAACATATGGAGGACCATTGATCTATATTAGAATTCTGTTCTTTCCCTAGTCACGCTTTATTGTATTGTTTACTGCAATCCAACATTGAAGGTCTGTCTTTTTCCACCATCCCTTCTGTCATTCTCCTAATATTCTGCCAATACTGCAAAATAAATATCTAATAACACACCTTCAGCTTGACAGAAGACCAAAGGGAGGGAGGCTCCCCCCCCCAAAAAAAGACTTTATAAAAGGGGGCTTCTTTGTCAGAGGCTGTGTTAACTGCAGTATGCCTGCATACTTTTTATTACCAAACAATTAAAATACAATTTAAAACAGTTACAAAAAAAGAAGAAAAAGAGTAATTAAGAAACAACAACAACAAAAAATCAGAAAAATACACCATAAACAGCACAGCCTTTAAGGGCCCTTTCAGTCAATTCTTAGAAAGTATGTACGTACAAAAAGAAATTATGTTTACCAACAAAATCACAACATGTTTTATGCACTTTACATGTACGTTATTTTATTTGTAGTACTGTTAACATGACTGCTCTGCTTTTAGGCCCTTGTGTATATTAATTTACTTCTATATCATGCTTACCATGCTTTGCACAATCTAGTGCAGGGTTTCTCAACTAGGATTCCCTGGAATGCTAGGTTTTGCAAGAGGTCACTCCGGGTACCCTAAGAGATAGTGATTGAAAAACCCACACACATATTTTGAGCTGTCGAATAATTTTTATGGGCCAGCCTGAAAATGATTTCAAGGGGTCCTCCAGGGTAAAAAGTTTGAGAAAGGCTGTAATGTGTAAAGCTGATTTTTATATACCAGAGAGCATTTGTTAAATCTCGCTCTACCTCCTTTTCTTTCAGGAACTGCTAACTGATGACCTGTGTTGTTTTGTAGAGGCTCACTTGCTATCTTGCTGTGCTTTCTTACAGGTACGGGAGAAAGTGGGAAAAGTACATTTATTAAGCAGATGAGGATTATTCATGGAACAGGCTATACAGAAGAAGACCGCAAAGGCTTCACAAAATTGGTTTATCAAAACATCTATTCTGCTATGCAGGCTATGATCAGAGCCATGGATACTTTACAAATACCATACTCATCTGAGCAGTGCAAGGTATATGTGCAGAAACTGCTGTCACTCAACTGAAATTTATTTATTTTTGGAAACAGATAATAGGACAGCAAAACAAATAGAGTTAAAACTCCCCAAGGAGTGAGCTTATGGGAATACATTGCATTTTTAAGAATCTGGGTATACTGGGGTTTGAATAAGAGATACCATGTAGGTGGAGAAAGAAATGTGTGTTTCTTTCCTTCCTTTTTTATCATCAATATTTCTACTCATATCAGTCCAACTCACTGTTGTAAGCCCTGATTAAAAAGAGCTTGGAGAGGTCCTAAACTTATTTTGGAATCCTGATTAAATGAAAAGTTTGATATGTAGGTTAGGAAGTCCTTATGACCAATCGAGATGCAAGCACATTGCTTTTTGGAGTCTTCAGCAAATTTCTAACCCAATCCTCTTGAGATATGATTATACCTTTTTGTTTCCTTGAATTAATTTTAAAACACCTGTATCAGCTCTGTTACAGAACACTTCTTTTTTTAAGACGGTGCAGTGGAAATATTTTATTTGCAGTAATAGAAGGGCACATTCAGCAAGGCAATTTCGTACATTTTGGCTCAGAAGTAAGAATCATTAAGTTTAATGGGATTTATTTCTGGAAGACTGCAGAGCATGGTGCAGCATTTTGAGCATTGGACTATGACTCTGGCATTGTTGTTGTTAATGTCTTCAATTTGTTTCTGACTTAGGGTGACACTAAGGTGAACCTGTCAAGTGGTTTTTTTGGCAAGATTTGTTCAGAGGAGTTTTGCCATTGCCTTCCACTGAGGCTGAGAGCGTATGACTTGCCCAAGGTCACCCAGTGGGTTTTATTAGCTGAGCTGGGAATCAAACCCTGGTCTCCATACTCATAGTACAACACTCAAAGCACTAAGCCACACTGGCTTTACTGGGTGATCTTGGGTAGGTGTCACTCTCTCAGCTTCAGAGAAAGGCAAAGGCAAACCCCCTCTGAACAAATCTTGCAAAGAAAATCCAGGAATGGGTTCACCTTATGGTTGCTGGAAATGACTTAAAGGCACACAACAACAAACAACAAGAAAGAATAGGATTGTCGTTAAGATACACTAGGATGTGCAGGTGGGACAATACAAAAGTGCAGCAAAAACAGATCAAAATCAGACAAATAATACAAAGCACAGGGAAATATTGATTTTTATGAGGGATAATACAGCGTGAATGAAAATTGCTATGATGGCAGTAATGCACTTTGTGTGAAATATAAGATGGCAGATAATTCCACAATCACTTGTAAAGCATCCGGGGAAAAAAATCTACTTAGTGGGTTCAAATTGCAGCAAGTGAATGATACCAGTCGTTTGCTTAAAAGATGTTTTTCCATGTTACCAAATTCTGTGTTTTTGTGTGGAGGCATTATGTTGGTGCCCAAAGCAACAGAAAATGCACATCTGTGTTTAGCATTTATTTCCAAAGTATTGTGGCTGGATGGAGTCTCAAGAGAAATTGAGGAAGTTTAGGTATCTACTACAATGGCTATGCAAATATGAGTTGCCAGTTGTTGCTAGATGTAATAAATCAAACTTCTACTGATTGTTCTTTGATTGTTTAATCTTAACTGTTTGTGTTCACCTGAACAAACAAATATGCTATTAATAAAGGCACAGCACAGTAGAATGTTTCAAATCTTGCATCTGCATCATAGACATAATGCAGTTTGACACCACTTAAACTGTCATAGCTCCATCCTACAGAATACAGGGATTTGTAGTTTTGTGAGACAGTCGCACTTCTTGGCAGAGAAGGCTAGAGATCTTGTAAAACAACAAATACTAAGATTCCATAGGATGGAACTTAAAGTGGAAACTGCACTATTTCTACAGTGTAGATGCACCCCTTGTGACTCAAGAATTAAGAGCCAGGTGAGCAGGGGAAAAGAAGTGCCATAAAAAAACAGTGTGGAATTTAAACCAATATATATATACTTGCATAGAAGCAGTGAGACTAT